GCAAACAAGGCCAGATTAGACTTTGCCAAAAAACATCTAAAAAAAAGTCACACCACTTCTGGAAAAGCATTCTTTGGACGACTGAAATTAAGATCAACATGTACCAGAATGATGGGAAGAAAAAAGCATGGAGAAGGCTTGGAACAGCTCATGATCCAAAGCATACAACATCATCTATGAAACACGGTGGAGCAGTGTGAAAGCATGAGCATTTTCTTCCAGTGGCTCTGGGTTACTGGTGTTTAGTGATGCTGTGACAGAGGACAGAAGCAGCCGGATGAATTCTGAAGTGTACAGGTACAGTATATACTCTCTGCCCAGATTCAGCCAAATGCACAAAATTGATTGGACAGCGATTCACAGTACCAGTGGAAATGACCCAAAACATACTGCAAAAGCAAGGGGTTTTTGAAGGTGAAATAGTGGAATATTCTGCAATGGTCAAGTCAATCTCCTGATCTCATCCCGATTGAGCATGCATTTCACTTGCTGAAAACAAAACTAAAGGCAGAAAGACCTACAAACAGACAGTAACTGAAGTCAGCTGCAGTAAAGGCCTGGCAAAGCATCACTGATGTCAATGAGTTCCAGACTTAAGGCAGTCATTGCCTGCAAAGGATTCTCAACAAAATATTAAAAATGAACATTTTCTGTTGCCCCTATTGTATCTGTACAGATTCTTCTTCTTCTTCCCCAAAGGAAGTCAATGGCAGCCCTATGAAAGGAACATAGGAAAATGATGAAATTTGGCACACTTGTAGTGATGCTCATGAATAGTGATCTGACCAAATTTGGGGTCTCTGGGACCAACTCTATAGCGCCACCACCAGTTCAAAAATTCAACATTGAAATGGAAATAACTCTTGAACCCTTAGTTTAAGAAAAATGAAACTTAGTACATCTGTTTACTCTCCTCATGCTGATCACATTGAATATCTTAACTTATTATATTAAGTCTGCACCCATTACAGTAGTGGCCATTTTGAAAAGTACAGTTTTTCGTTTTTTCACTACTTCTTCAAATTTTGTCTAATTCTTCCAAAACTTGGCAGAGATAATCTTTGGACTGAGCTGCATAGAAATGACTGAACAGAATTTTATGACCTACAGGTCAAAAAAAAAAAGTGATGATGCTGTGAACTTAAATGAGGTCGACTTGAAATTGGTTCAAAGGCTGTATCTCGACCAAACTTTGATCAGTCAAAATGAAACTTGGTACATTTCATCAACTGCGTGATATGAGGGTCCATGCCAAAGTTGGGTACAGCGCCATTTATGAGTCGTGAGGCATGAAAAAGGGCTCTTTTTGCTTATAACTTTTGAATAGTTCAATCATAATCTTGGCATCTATGGATTCCTTGGGTCATGCCGAATCTCAATTGTCAATTTTTGTATCAGTGTCTGTGTTTTTGTATCAGCTTGTCCACCATTTTGAAATTTGTCATAAATTGCCATATCTTTTGAACCACTTGACATATTAGCACAAAAATTGACAGGGATCATTGACGGCATGTCCCGGAGGTACATGAGAAGTTTGAACAGACTGCCACCTAGTGTTCCAGAGATATAAAGGTTTTTACAAAAATGCTTATAACTTTTGGAAACATTGTCCAAATTTTGTTATTTTTATATATCCTTTCATTCCCTGGGTCATGCTGATTCTTATGAAGTCTCATTTATCATTTTCCATTAATGTGCCTGTCCTCCAAATTGAAATAAATGTAAAACAGTTTTTTCTCTACTCCTACAAATTTTGTCCAATTTTGTCCAAAATCTGACCAGATGATCTTTGGACCGAGCCGCACAAAAATGACTGAACAGATTTTTGATATTCGCTTCCATTCCTGAGAAATACCTCTCGAAATTTAAGCGTCCCTGAGTTTGTTTGAATTGATTCTCGGTTGAACTTCTGAACTTCAGCGTCTGTATGAACACCCGTCTCCCCAGTGGTGCAACAAGATATGCGACAGGCGCTTGACCTGGAGGTTGTGGGTTTGCGTCCCGTGTTGTGTATTTTAATAAAATTGTGTGTAATGTTGTGCTGATTTGATTCCTTTGTTATCCAGATCAGCAATGTACAAATCATTATTCCTTCTGGATTAGAAATTTTTATTTCTAAATTTTGTTTTTATCCATGCTGTGTTCATTTTCATTTGAACTTCACTTGGACTGTTCATTCTAAGTTCATTCTCAACTATAAATCTGAACTGGCTGATTTTCATGTTCATTCAATTTATGCTGTTTTTGATCTTCCTGCTCTGCACTGCACTACACTCTTAAAAATAAAGGTGCTTCAAAAGGTTCTTCAAGCGATGCCATAGAAGAACCATTTTTGGTTCCACAAAGAACCATTCAGTCAAAGGTTCTTTAAAGAACCATCTCTTTCTTACCTTTTTATAATCTGAAGAACCTTCTTTCGCCACAAAGAACCTTTTGTGAAACAGAAAGGTTCTTCAGATGTTAAAGGTTCTTTATGGAACCATTTAGACAAAAAGGTTCTTCTATGGCATCGTGAAGCACCTTTATTTTTAAGAGTGTACAGCCCCTTCAGGGCCTTGGCCCCGTATCGCTGCTTGCAGCTATATTTATGATTATATTTAATTGTCCAATTACATTTGAGCCTCTGAAAATGGGGGGGACTGTGTATAAAAATGGTTGTAATTCCTTTTTAAAAAAATTTTTTTTTTAAAAGAATTTTATGTTATATTTTTGTTCAACCCCTTGAGTTAAAGCTTAAAGTCTACACTACAATTTCATCTGAATTGTTTCATTTTAATTCTATTCTGGTGGCATACAGAGCCACCAGGGAAATTGTGAAAATTGTGAAAATTGTGTCAGTGTCCAAATATATATGGACCTAACTGTACTATTTTTAAATGATAAAATATATCACGCTACACGAATTATGAGATGTCTTGGCAGTGTATGGTAAAGTAACAATATCTGAAATAGATGCTGATATTATGGCTGTATCATTAGGGCGGCACAGTGTTCACATTTGGATCCGGAGGTTCTGGTCAGCTTGGGCACAACTCATTTAAAGATGAACATCATCCGCGGGTGGTTGCTGAACTGTGGGGATCTGAAGTGTCACAGGTCACATGTGGGAGGTAAAGACATTAGTTCATAAGCAATCGGTGTTCAGAGAAATACTACAGATTTCTTTATGTACCTTTTTTAAATCTCATGCAACCATAACATAATGATAATTCCTCGCAAGATATATATTAGCCCTATTTCAAGTCTTTGTATAGTTCAGTTTAGTAATGATTTTTTTTCTTGTATAAAGACATCACACACTTGTATCAATCGCATCGTCAAAGCTGATCTACTCGTTTGGATGTGGCATGCAAGGGCAGCTGGGAAACGGAGAAATGATCAAGCAGTCTGTGCCTTTCCCTGTGGATCTGCCAACCGGTAAGTAAATCATCTTTTAGCATTAGGGTATTTTGTTATGAATATTTTTATATTCATGATGATGCTCAAAGATCTAAACTAAGTATTTATTGCACACAGAATGTAATCAAGAATATACGATTGAAAAAATCATCGCTGGGGAGAATCATTCCTTTGCCTTGTTTTTCAAAGTAGGACATGGCAGTTTTCATTCATTAGTAGTTTAACATAAATTATTGCTGCACTGTGATTACTCATGTTTTACTTGTATTTTGTAGGAACTGGAAAATAAGGTCAAATCCAATCCAAGCAGAGGGGTTTTGACATTAAATGACAGAATGATTGACCGATGGCTGTCTGGAACTGATTCATGCTGGGCAACAATAAAACAGTGAGTGTTTTCCTTACAATCTTGATCTTATGTTTGTAGGATTCTTACTGTTTTTATAATTAGAAGTGTAATGATACAATTGAGCAATTGTATATATGAAAGTAATGCATATCAATGGATTAGAAAAGAATCATTAAATGTATTGTGTTATTTACAGGGAAATACACACAGTGTTCTCCTCCGCTGCCTCTATGAATGGGAGTTTTCTCAAAACAAGGTAAAATTAGGTAGTTCTATTTAGTAATTTCTCATTTTTGTGCCTAAAATGACTATTTCCATTACAGATGTTAAAGTAAATGTCTGTTTTTGTAGTTGTGATGATCATTATCAGACGTCTGAGGATCGTTGTGGTTTGGATTTTGATCTGGTTAAAACACCCTTTGCAAAGTTATCAGAGAATAAAAGCTTGATATCAGAGGTAATGATAAATCTAACATTTATAACCAATTTTAATTACATTTGAGATGCTGTTAATTTTATTTATTTTTTGTATCTCAGGTAGTGAAGGTGGTTCAGCAGACACTGGTGCCATCTCTGAATCCAAATCCAACTGGTGTGGAATCGCTGAGAGTTTATCTTCTCCTCCCTGAGCTCATCAGACGTCTCAAGAAACAAAAAACCGAACTCACTGAAGCTCTGGCCTCCAAAATCCTTCAGCTGGATCCTGATGCTCACAAGGTGTTAGGTAAAGCTGGGAGAACTTTCAGCCTTTGACTTGTGTTTTTGGCTTTGTTGTATTTGTCTAAGTATTTTTATGTTATATTCTCAGAGAAGTACTGGTCCAAACTCCCTGATGATTGGCTCAAAAGCCTGGTGAAGTTATTTCACAAAGCATCTGCTGAGCTGATTGGCCAGATTTCTTGTGGTGAAATGGGCTATGACTTAACTAGACGCCTGAAAAAGTTTTTGAATATCCTTCGGATGATCTATCAGGTGCCTTTTTAAACAAAGATGCTTTTTTGGATCAAAGATGTATTTTAATCTATCATTGTATAATAGTTGCTTATACTTTGTTGTGAAGGTCTGCTGCAGTGCCAACAGAGACATCCCAAACAGGGATTTCATCATTCATGAGATCAGTGATCTACTAGATACGGTAAGAACCAAAGCAATAGTGAATTGTGCTGCACAAAGAGATTTTTAGAGGGAAACCAAATCACCACAGAATTCTTTTTCTACATCAATAGCTGAAAGCCACCTTGGAGAAACTGTCATTGCCATTTTTGGGTTTTGCTTTTACTGACGATTGGGAGGATATGGTGAAATTGAGAGATTACTGCTTTGTAAGTATTAAAGGCTGTCGACTTGATACGTGATGTATGTCATTTGTATGTTTCTTGTTCAATTACTTTGAGAAACCTTATATTACTTCAATGCATCTTTCTTTCAGGAAACTATTAACATATTGGTCAAGTTCCCTTTTGTGGCTGACACTGTGTCTAAACAGAAAATGTTTTGTGTAAGTCAGACATGGATATACTAAGTTATACATAGGCCAAACATGCATATGATAAATAACTGATTTTTTAAGTAGCAGTTCACCTAAAATGAAAATTTGGTCGTCATTTATTCACTCTTAAACTGAGAAATGCCTTTTTTACCATACAATGGAAATCAATGGGCACCAAACTGTTTGGTTACCAATATTCTTTAGAATATTTTTGTTCTGCAGAAGAAATAGAGTCATATGAGTAAATGATGACAGAATTTTTTTTTTTGGGTGGACTATCCCATTAAAGCTAACATCATTTTACTCTTTTTAGTATTTGCAGGGACTTTTACAGAGCTTTCCAGACCCATACAGGATCTTTTTAAATGGCAACATGTTGCACATAAACAGGGAATCAGTGTTGACAGACACGCTAAAGTATCTCAGACAAAAAACCCACTCATTTTGTTATCCATTGCAGGTAAAAGAATTACAGAATTGAATTCAGAGTTGAAATGTCTGATATGGCATTTTAATGAAAATCTCCTGTGCAGGTGACGTTCATCGGGGAGAATGGAGTAGATATGAGGGGTTTATCGGCAGAATTCTTCTCCCTCCTTTCCCAGTCTCTTCTGAAATGGGAGAAGAAGGTGCTGGAAGTCCATGAGAGTTCACTGGTTTGGTTCAATCCTGATGTAAGTTTTACACCAAGCATTCCTTGTTCTTTCTAATGTGGTATTTCTCATATATCACATACATGTGCTGTGATGCTTGTGTCTTTTCAGGGCATGCAAGCTAATAGAGATTTTTACTATCTTGGCGTTATCTGTGGAATGGTGCTCTACAACCGTCATTATATAAACATTGGCTTCCCACTGGCCTTGTTCAAGAAACTCCTCCAGCAGAGTCCCACTCTGAATGATCTGGAGGAACTATCTCCTGTGGAGGCCAGGTAAACGGTTAAAGACTACGAGACATTAGATTTTATACATTGTAGTGTTACAGAGCAGGTCATATTAATTGAATTTCAAAAATCTCACATTAGAACTTTGAAAAGCCTTCTTGAGGAGGACGAGGATGAAGTAGTGGATATGTTCGGTTTCGATTTCACGGTAATACCGTTTCTATGGTTCACATGTATTAGTGTACACAGCTGTTGTTTCAATTTATGCTGTTATTTACCTCCTTCAGGTCAAAGGAAAAAAGCTCATCCCAAACGGAGATCAAATTCGAGTGACCAAAGCTAATAGGTAGAAATAGATCTATCTATCTGTCAACTCTTCAAAATATCTTTGAATGTTTCAAACAAGCTTGTCTTGGCAAAACGTTCCATTTCTAAATGTCCTCTTGATGTTGTAATATACTGTATATAGAGTTATAAAGGAGTTAATGAGGTAGTGACACACAGGTGGAAGTGTCCAGGCAATAGATTATGGGAAATGAAGTTCATGATGGGAAAGCTAGGGAGATGGGAGGAGGGCCCTCTGGTGGCGATCATAGGGACTCCAGCAGGAGGATGCAACAATCCATTACTGCATAGTAAAAACACCTTTTTTCCAGACAGAAATATGTGGATTTGTATGTCGACTTCGTTTTCAACAAGTCAGTGAAGAAACAGTTCGAGCATTTTTCAGAAGGTTTCTTTAAGGGCTGTCCACTTGATGCCTGGAGCATGTTCCACCCTGAGGAACTCCAGGAGCTTCTCCACGGCTCCCCTGAATACGAGTGGAAGGAGCTTCAGCAGGTAACCCACTGAAACTTCAAGAAACTTTTTATGTTTTAAATATTTCACAGTACCTGAGTTTTTCTGCTTCGTCTTCAGTCTGCTTCCTATGAAAAGTGCTCTGCCTCTGATGAGCTCATCAAGAACTTCTGGACTGTTTTCTCTGAGCTCTCTGAAGAGAACAAGAAGAAGTTTCTGAGTAAGTGTTGTCTTTAACACGAATGTCTTGATGCATCTACATAAGGAATATCATTATTATTTGCCTCACATCCTCACATTATTTATTTTTCTCTAGTTTTCTTGTATGGGACGGACCGTGTACCTGTGGGAGGTTTCTCAAAGCGCTCTCTGAAGATTTTACTGTCAGACTGTCCTGATGCAGAAGACCGACTGCCAGAGGCCCAGACCTGTTTTGGCAGATTAATTCTTCCCAAATACAGCGATATCAACACACTTCGTGACAAGCTTATACACGCAATCAGCTTTTGTAAGGTTTTTGGACGAGCGTGAAATTCCCTCCATATTCCAGACCCTATGCAGTCAAGCGTATGCTGCTAAACTTTGCAGCTTATTGGGTATGGAACATTCATATTGGCTAGTTATCATCATTTATATAGGTTAGACATCATAATAACATCAAACATATGTAAATAAACACATTGTGAGAGCTATAGATATTCTATTTCTAGCATTATTTAAAATAATTTTTATTGTTTATGTTTTACTGCTGGTAGAATAACTTAACTAAAGGCCTTTGTGATTTTATATAGCCTAATATAATGCATGAATATACAGATATTCTGGTATGTCAACTCAAACTTATTGTATGTTTTGTTATTTAGTGTTTCTTCAAACATATTTATTTGCCTAGATAAATAAAAATACATGTTCTAGAAAATGTCTTGTATTATCCGTTTTTAAAAATTATATTCATCATATTTACACATGGAACAAAAGAGGCAACAGAACTGGAATAAAGTAAGTTTAAGTTACCAAGTAATTGTTTGATTTAACACAATGTTTTCACAATTGTGTTTAGTTAGTACGCAATACTAACTGTACTTGTTTTTTTGTGGCGCTCCTTCATAATCTGGTTTGAGGCAATTATTGGCAGTTGTTTCTTGTCACACTGTTACTACAAATGTCCTTCAAGCAATTTTAGATGGCCCATTTTAACCTAATAAGTTAATATATAATAAAATAAAGTCGGTCATCGTCTTCTACAACTTTCAGTTGCATTACCACCACCTTCTGGACAAATCTGAATCTCTCAGCCTTCGGCATGGAACAATGGCTGATACGCTGGATAAATGTGGGTTATTTGATGTCTTTGTGTCTGTACTTATCACTTATATATATCACTATATATATATATATGCATGTATACATATATGGGTAGGATTGGGGACAGGTTGTTGAGAGTTTAAAAAATGTTTATAGTTTTTATACTATTATTGTGAATTTATTGTAATCATTGTCAAAACCTTAATAAATAGAGTTCAAAAAAAAAAAAAAAAAAAAAACCATTATTTAAAACGCACTTTTAAAATGAGTCTTAAAATATTCAAGTTTAAATAAAAATATTAATTAGCAGTTTTTATAGTGATTAGTAGCTTATTTTATTGTTTGTTTGTATTGTATGATTATTAATAATTTTAAGTCATGATGTGGTAATGAGGTCTGAATGAATGACTGACAGAATAAATTATTAAATGAATGAATGAAAATAAAAAAATATTAAAGTCACACAAATTCAAATAGGAAATATATTGATTTGTAGTTGTTTTAAATTAGTTTAAATATTGTATTGTATGATTTTAAATCATTTTAAGTCATTATTGCCCTCTAGTGGACTGGTTTAGAACCAATAAAAGCCCATATGTAGTATATCAGTACAACATGCAAAGAAATGTGTGTGCCAAACTGTGTGAAAACGGCCAGAAGGTGGCGCTATACGCAATATTAAGTCGCACTTTCGAACAAGACGGAAGTAAAGAATTGATATCAATTATCTTCATATTTGGGTGAACTAGGCTATCTCCTTAAGTTTTGGTTTCGTTTTCCAAATAAATCGTAATCCCTCATCCGTATTTTAATTTGTCATCATGGTTTTGTGTGGAAGCCAGTTTCCGCCACTGAATAAAAAATAAAAAAGGTAATTGCGACTTTTTATTTTTATTCAGTGGCGCAGAAATAAGGGCTCCCATAGGTTAGCTTATCACTATCTATAAAAAAATAAATAAATACAAACATGGTAGATACAGTTTCCAAACGCTTTCATTTTGTGGGAATTCGAAAAAGTTTCGTTTAGCCTGAAATCAGCATTTCCTTTTTAACTTTCGTGTTTGCTTTCAGTTTAATTTGAATGTGTTCGTCAGTCCAGGAAGAAAGAGAGTCTCTTCTGGAGTCTGATCTTCTCGTGCATCAGAGCTGTGGTCATGTTATGTTTTTGGGGAGCGCAGGTCAGAGAGGGTTTGGGGCTGGTAAAGCCTGACCAAGTCAAACATGGCAATTCTGGAATACGATCCATGTGTCCGAAATCAAATGTTCAGGACATGTCAGCTGGAAGGAGTTTTGCTGGATTTATCCGGGATGGGAAGGTCTCGGTCCTGAGATTGCTCAGTGAAGACCGTAATGATGGGAAACTAAGTATGATGCTCTAAATGTCACTTTATGTCATCGTTTAAAAAGTTAAAAATCTAAGAAAAATGCCAAGTTTGTATGTGAAAGTATATGATTTACTGAAATATAGCCTACTGTAAGCGTATTATTAATGACATCATCATAATGAAAGTAGTTTGTTTAATTTTACAGCCTGAACAAAAGTTGAACTGATGAAAGTATTTTATTTACTCCAGAGCAACTACAGCTAAAGAATGACAGAATCAGACTGATTGTCTGTGGAGGAGATGGTGCAGTGCTTCTTTCTGATTCAGGAAAAGTTCTCATCATGGACAAATTTACTGTGTGCAAGTATGTTTATGGAGACATGACAGTATAAATGACCATAAATGATAATAACAAGTATCTATCTGACAGATTGTCTTGTCTCTGCAGGCCTCTCAAAGGTCTGGATAACAGGCAGGTGATTCAGATCACATGTGGAGACCATCATTCAGTGGCACTAACCAACGGTATTCACAACTATTTAATCTGCCATTTTGCTTTCATCTTTAGACATCTTATGATTGAGATGAATTGATTGAGATTTGAGTGTACATGTTCAGAGCTGTTGCTCTTTCAGATGGTCAGGTGTTGGTATGGGGTGAGAACTCTCATGGTCAGCTGGGTTTGAGGAAAGATCATCCCGGCTCTCCGTCTGCTCAACATGTTCAGAGTCTGAGTGGGATCCCGCTGGCTCAGATCAGCGCTGGAGGAGACCACAGCTTTGTGTTGTCTCTCTCTGGAGTCGTGTTTGGATGGGGAAAGAACTCTGCTGGACAGCTGGGCCTCGGAGACACTACAGGTCTGATTATGTAAAAACTTAGTATAGTATTAGTATAGTATGAAAGTACATTTAAATGTACCAAATCTGTGCAATACATATCTATATCAAAGCGTGAATATGACGTATTTGGAAGTGATTAATTCTATTCACCATTCTTGTGACCACAGACAGACACGTCCCAACAGTTGTAAATAGCCTGAACTGGAAAAAAACGGTGTCCATTTCATGTGGAGCGGAACACACTGCCACTTTATCAAAGGTAGAGTATCATTTTTATTATTATATACTATTTTTCTATATTATATATACTATTTTTTATCTGAAATAGATGCTGATCTTATAGCTGTATCATTAGGGCGGCACAGTGTTCACATTTGGATCCGGAGGTTCTGGTCAGCTTGGGCACAACTCATTTAGAGATGAACATCATCCGCGGGTGGTTGCTGAACTGTGGGGGTCTGAAGTGTCACAGGTCACATGTGGGAGGTAAAGACATTAGTTCATAAGCAATCGGTGTTCAGAGAAATACTACAGATTTCTTTATGCACTTTTTTAAATCTCATGATGCAACCATAACATAATGATAATTCCTCGCAAGATATATATTAGCCCTATTTCAAGTCTGTGTATAGTTCAGTTTAATAATGATTTTTTACTTGTATAAAGACATCACACACTTGTATCAATCGCATCGTCAAAGCTGATCTACTCGTTTGGATGTGGCATGCAAGGGCAGCTGGGAAACGGAGAAATGATCAAGCAGTCTGTGCCTTTCCCTGTGGATCTGCCAACCGGTAAGTAAATCATCTTTTAGCAGTGGGGTATTTTGTTATGAATATTGTTTTACTCGTGCTGTTGTTCAGAACTAAACAAAGCTAAATGTTTGTTGCACACAGATTGTAATCATGAATATACAATTGAAAAAATCATCGCTGGGGAGAATCATTCCTTTGCCTTGTTTTTCAAAGTAGGACTTTTTTTTCATTCATTAGTAGTTTAATATAAATTATTGCTGCACTGTGATTACTCATGTTTTACTTGTATTTTGTAGGAACTGGAAAGTAAGGTCAAATCCAATCCAAGCAGAGGGGCTTTGACATTAAATGACAGAATGATTGACCGATGGCTGTCTGGAACTGATTCATTGGCAACCATAAAGCAGTTAGTGTTTCCATTTACTGATACTGATATAAATCCAGAGTTTATGTATACTATTTCCATGCCATTTTTGAAATACTGGGAAATTGCATGTGGAACTGAGTGTCCAGGACCTTAATGCATTTGTCCTTCTTTTTAAACTTACTATTAAATCGAAGAAATACCAGAGAGTAAATAATTGTTGTTTATTTACACAATCCAGTAAGTGAATCTCGATCTTATGTAGGAATCTTACTATTATGTATAAAGAGTTGTACCCTAATATAATATAATTGAGCAATCGTATATGTTAATGCATATAAATGGACTCAGAAAGAATTTGTAAAAGTATTGTGTTATTTACAGGGAAATAAACACAGTGTTCTCCTCCGCTGCCTCTCTGAATGGAAGTTTTCTCGAAATGAAGTAAAATGAAGTAGTTCTTTTTAATATTTTCTCATTTTTGTGCCTCCTTCCATTGCAGATATTAATCTAAATTTCTGTTTTTGTAGTTGTGATGATCATTATCAGACGTCTGAGGATCGTTGTGGTTTGGATTTTGATCTGGTTAAAACATCCTTTGCAAAGTTATCAGAGAATAAAAGCTTGATATCAGAGGTAATTGTGTACATTTATAAACATTAATAAATGTTAATTACATTTTAAACAATAAGATGCAGTTAATGGTTTGTGTATCTCAGGTAGTGAAGGTGGTTGAACAGATGCTGCGATCTCTGAATCCAAATCCAGTTGGTGTTGAATCGCTGAGAGTTTATCTTCTCCTCCCTGAGCTCATCAGACGTCTCAAGAAACAACGAAGAACTGAACTCACTGAAGCTCTGGCCTCCAAAATCCTTCAGCTGGATCCTGATGCTCACAAGGTGTTAGGTAAAGCTGGGAGAACTTTCAGCCTTTGACTTGTGTTTTTGGCTTTGCTGTATTTGTCTTAAGTATTTTTATGTTATATTCTCAGAGAAGTACTGGTCCAAACTCCCTGATGATTGGCTCAAAAGCCTGGTGAAGTTATTTCACAAAGCATCTGCTGAGCTGATTGGCCAGATTTCTTTTGGTAAAATGGGCTATGACTTAACTAAACGCCTGAAGAAGTTTTTGAAGATCCTTCGGATGATCTATCAGGTGCCTTTTTTTTTAACAAAGATGCTTTTTTTGGATCAAATATGTATTTTAATCTATCATTGTATAATAGTTGCTTATACTTTGTTGTGAAGGTCTGCTGCAGTGCCAACAGAGACATCCCAAACAGGGATTTCATCATTCATGAGATCAGTGATCTACTAGATACGGTAAGAACCAAAGCAATAGTGAATTGTGCTGCACAAAGAGATTTTTGGAAGGAAACCAAATCACCACAGAATTCTTTTTCTACATCAATAGCTGAAAGCCACCTTGGAGGACCTGTTATGGCAGTTATTGCGGTCTGCTATTACTGATGATTTTCAGGATATGCTGAAATTGAAAGATTACTACCTTGTAGGTATTAAAGGCTTCGGACATGATACATATCAATAAATTTCAAATAGATTTGCATGACATATAGCAATAACTACCAGAAATCTTATATTACTTTACTGCATTTTTCTTTCAGGGAACTATTGACATATTGGTCAAGTTCCCTTTTGCGGCTGACACTGCATCTAAACGGAGAATGTTTCATGTGAGTGCCAGACATGAGGATGTACTCAGTTATACATACTGTATGCTATACATGAATATGCCAAACAACTATGATTTTAAGCAAAAGTTCACCCAAAATGAAAATTCTGTCATCATTTAGTTTTTTTTTTAAGATTTATTTTTGCCTTTATTACAATAGAACAGTATTTAGACTTAAGTGGGAGAGAAAGAAGGGGGGCGGGATTGGGAAAGGTCTGCGAGCCGGGACTCGAACACGGGACGCCCAAAGCACAGCGGTGCTACTGTATGTCATTAGAACTTTATTTTCTATCATACAATGGAATTCAATGGGCACCAAACTGTTTGGTTACAAACATTCTTTAGAATATTTGTGTTCCGCAGAAAAAATTAAGCCATACAGGTTTGAGTTTGACAGAATTTGCATTTTTGGGTGGCCTATCCGTTTAAAAGCTAACATTATTTTACTCTTCTTAGTACTTGCAGTGGCAACTCTTCAGACCCAGGGCCAATGGCAACGTGTTGCACATAAAGAGAGAATCAGTGTGGTTGGACACACTTACGTATCTCAGACAAAAAACCCACGTATTTCATAATCTATTTCAGGTAAAAGAATTACAGAATTGAATTCAGAGTTGAAATGTTTGATATGGCATTTTAATGAAAATCTCCTGTGCAGGTGACGTTCATCGGGGAGAATGGAGTAGATATGAGGGGTTTATCGGCAGAATTCTTCTCCCTCCTTTCCCAGTCTCTTCTGAAATGGGAGAAGAAGGTGCTGGAAGTCCATGAGAGTTCACTGGTTTGGTTCAATCCTGATGTAAGTTTTACACCAAGCATTCCTTGTTCTTTCTAATGTGGTATTTCTCATATATCACATACATGTGCTGTGATGCTTGTGTCTTTTCAGAATACGCAAGCTAATAGAGATTTTTACTATTTTGGCGTTATCTGTGGAATGGCGCTCTACAACCGTCATTATATAAACATTGGCTTCCCACTGGCCTTGTTCAAGAAACTCCTCCAGCAGAGTCCCACTCTGAATGATCTGGAGGAACTATCTCCTGTGGAGGCCAGGTAAACGGTTAAAGACTACGAGCCATTAGACTTTTTACACTGTAGGCTTCACAGTCGTGTTTCAGAACAGGTCATATTTATAATTGTATTTCAAAAATCTCACATTAGAAGTCTGAAAAGCCTTCTTGAGGAGGAAGAAGATGAAGTAGTGGATATGCTCTTTTTGGATTTCACGGTAATACAGTTTCTATGGTTCATTTGTATAAAAGTGTGCAAAGCTGTTGTTTAAATGCTTACATTTGTGCTGTTATTTACCTCCTTCAGGTCAAAGGAAAAAAGCTAATTCCAAATGGAGATCAAATTCAAGTGACCAAAGTTAATAGGTAGAAACTATCTATCCATCTGGCCAAAGTTTATAACTAGCAACAGATTCATTTTCTAAATGTCCTCTTGATGTTATAATAGACTTCAATTAATTATACATTACTTCTGAAATACATACATGACAAAACAACATAAAAAGGCAAATTTGTCTATAGGTGCTGTAGATCAGGGGTCACAAAACTTGGTGTCCTGCAGAGTTTAACTACAACCCTAATCAAACACACCTGAACTAGCTAATCAAGGTCTTGCTAGGTATACTTGAAACTTCAAGGCAGGTGTGTTGAGGCAAGTTGGAGCTAAACTCTGCAGGACACCAGCCCTCCAGGACCAAGTCTGGTGACCCCTGCTGTAGATGTTCCTTTTGTGCATTGCAAAGTAATAACTTTTTTTTTTTCAGACAGAAGTATGTGGATTTGTATGTCAACTTTGTTTTCAACAAGTCAGTGAAGAAACAGTTCAAACATTTTTCAAGAGGTTTCTTTAAGGGCTGTCCACTTGATGCCTGGAGCATGTTCCACCCTGAGGAACTCCAGGAGCTTCTCCACGGCTCCCCTGAATACGAGTGGAAGGAGCTTCAGCAGGTAAACGTCTTCAAGAAACTTTTTATGTTTTAAATATTTTATAGTACCTGAGTTTTTCTGCTTCGTCTTCAGTCTGCTTCCTATGAAAAGTGTTCTGCCTCTGATGAGCTCATCAAGAACTTCTGGACTGTTTTCTCTGAGCTCTCTGAAGAGAACAAGAAGAAGTTTCTGAGTAGGTTTTGTCTTGATGCATCTACATTATTTAAGGAATATCATTATTATTTGCCTCACATCCTTACATTTATTTTTCTCTAGTTTTCTTGTATGGGGCGGACCGTGTACCTGTGGGAGGTTTCTCAAAGCGCTCTCTGAAGATTTTACTGTTAGACTGTCCTGATGCAGAAGACCGACTGCCAGAGGCCCAGACCTGTTTTGGCAGATTAATTCTTCCCAAATACAGCGATATCAACACACTTCGCAACAAGCTTATACACGCAATCAGCTTTTGTGAGGTTTTTGGACGAGTGTGAACTTCCCTCGAGGTTCCAAACCCCAAAATATAGGCTATACAGTCACAGATTTGCCACACAGATCACTCTTGTTGGGAGCAAAACATTTTGCTTAATGTTGTCACATTATGTAGATTTATAAAAATAGGTATCATAAAAAAATTTATATTTGTAAATAAACACAATAGGAGAGCTATATTCTATTTTTAGCACTATTTAGTAATTTGGCACATTGTAATTTTTATCACATTATAAAATATATTTTGGTATGTCACCTCATAACCTTATTATATGTTCTGTTATTTGGTGTTAAAATGAAAATACATTCTCCTAAATATTTCTCACATTGTCTTTTAAATTATATAAATATAATAAGACATGTAACAAAAAAAAAGGCAACAGAACTGGAAAAAGTGTATGTACCAAGTCATTATTTTGATTTTATATGAAGCAATGAGACGAAATTCAAATTCAACCAATTTTTTTTCACAATTGACGAAAGCCCTATTCGCACAGGATTAATATTACCTGGTGACCTCCAGTCATTTGTAATAATTGCGGAGGTTATCTGTGATCTTAATCCCGTGCGAATCGGCCATGTCTTTTATTTGTAAAGTAAAAATTCCCCCGCAAATGACCTACCATATTTCGCCGAACACCGAGGTCCTGTGATAATATTAGTCCCGTGCGAATCGGCATCTCTGTGATTTGGCCAGCATTTGGCGGGTCGTATATCATTTTTCGAGGTTTTTGTTTCCTGTGCGCCTTTTTATCCATCTTTCGCGAAGAATGGAGCTGCGTTGGAGTGTCTGGGTGCTGTCATATCGCTACACCATACAATTTGCAGAAAGAGAAAGCTGAAAAGGTTTTGAGGTTAATGTGTTACAAATAAATCAAGCATAAAGCTTGAGATATTATTTTAACCTGGTGAAATGTAAATGACACAGCGCACGAAACTGTATTCGTTTCTTTTTTTTAATCCATCTAACCGTACCATAGAACGGGACTCTCAAAGCCTTGACATCCGGGTATCCAGGAGATAAGTCAGTAACTGTTGAAAAAATCAGCATATGCTGGTATGTTTTGAAGCTGGGATGCTGGTTTGAGCTGGTCCTTTCATCTAACCGTACCATAGAACGGGACTCTCAAC